AAAATCTTTTTAATACCTAATTTAGATCTTTCTCAAAAAGATAATTTTTATGCAGTATTTCCATTTACAAAAAATGGATTATTAAGTGAAGATTCTAATATTGTTATAAATGTAAAGCAAATGCAAGAAAAGGTAATACTCTACTAGTATTACTAATATTTTCATAAAGTTCAAATATTAAGATAAATATATTTAATTTTTACTTGTTATAGCTAAGTCATTATTTAGATATTGTGGAAGTTAGAATAGCAGAACAAGTTGCTTCTAAGTCTCAAGCATTTTTTCATGCTATGACTTCTCATGATGCCTTAATGGAACAACTTACTCAAACTATTACAGTTCTAAAAGCTCTTAGAAAAAATATACACCAAGTTGATAAGTATCTAGTCAATGATTCTTTAGAAATTTTAAGGTAAATAATAAAATTATTATATATTTTTTTTAAGTATTATATATACATTAATTTAAATGTATATATTTTCGAATAAATATATTTTCAGATTGGAACGAGCGAGATCCAATCGATTGTTAGTTCAAGAAAAACTAAAACTTATGGCTACAGTACACCAAAGTCAACCAATGATACAATTGTTGTTATCTACGCCAGATTATGTTGCAGCATTAGATCTCATTGCTACAACCCAAGAAATACTTTTACAGGAATTAAATGGAATACATAGTTTTAGGTATTATCTTTATAAATAAAGCTAATATATAATAAGATATAAAAATTAGATATATCTAATTTTTTTTCTTAGGCATTTAAGTTCTCAATTAACAGAAATGGAAAAACTTGTTGATAAAATGTTATCTACCGAATTTCAAAGATATGCAACTGCAGATTTAAATAGACCATTAGGAGGAGAAAATACAGTTTTGGATGGTGTAAGTATATGTAAAATTTTTAAAAATTTTGTATACTTAGTTCGTAGCAAACAAACCGTCGTGCATCTCTTCCCAGTGAGATCATTTGTACATCCTCAACGAACAGGATAAACTTATTCCATCATTTCTGGTCTTCTGCGGCAAAAACATTTTCAATTTGTGGATACTTACAAAGAAGAAGCTGTGACGACAGTCCGAGCTGTAACAAAGCAAAGAGTTATAGAAGCTTTAGCAGAGAGTGATTGTTGTAGTGATCAACAAGCTGCAGCTTTAGAAGTTGGTGGACTTTCTCTTGCAGAAAGATTAACTTTACTTCATAATGCTATACAATCTTTAACATTTCTTCTAATGCGAGTTAAGGTATTATATTACATTATATTATAAAAATATAAAATTATTATTTCATATAAATTATAATTATAATTAAAATTAATTTAATTTTCTAAATATAATAACTGTTTGACATTATATGTATTTCTAGGCTGTTCATGATGTAATGCGAGATACAGTAGATCTTGCAGCTGGCCGAGTGTGTGATGGATCATTCGATGATACGATACCTGATCGTTTATTAACTCAAGCAGAACATTCGCGAGTAACACTTAAACTCAATGATATGATAATTTCTGTTTGTGATTATTGTCATGAGCGAATGGGAAATCTGCTTTCTGCAGGTACAAATGATAAAGATAAATTACAAAATGAAAAAGAAAAATTTAACAATGAAAATTCAAATAACAAACAAGAAGAAAAAGAATGCCAAAATTGGAATGATAAATCATCTTGGTTGAGTAAAAGGGCAACGACAGCTCAAGTATGTCAATTAGCGAATTTAGTTGAAAAGTTCACAGAAACTTGTGAAAAACTTTGTGGTAAACAATGTACTGGATTGCGTTCTGCATTTAAGGTACGCGTTATTCTTAAATCTAATTCAAAAAAATTTTATATTTATATTGTGTAAATAATATATTTATATATAAATATATTTTCATATTTTATAATAATATAGGCACAAGCTAGTAAATTTATTCAAAGATTTCATACTGAGCTCAAAACAAAGCTTACTCTTTTATTGGAATCTGAAAGATGGAAGCAAGCTGATGTACCACCAGAATTTCAATCATTAGTAACATATATATATGAAAATAAAACTTTTCCACCAAATTTATTTAAAATTGATGATAAAGTTAAAAAAAGTAGTGTTCAAAATTTTATTATGGTGGGAAATGAAAAATATGCCGTTGTTGGAACAGCTTTAATGCTCACACAAATGATTCATGAATATTGCAGGTAATTTTTGAAATATTAAATGTATATAAATATTTTAATAAATATTCAATAAAATTTTATTTCTAGAACTGGCAGTGAATTAATTGCTTTATCAGGAACAATTGGAAGACATTTAGCTGAATTATTGCGACATTATAATTCACGTTGTTGTCAACTTGTTCTTGGAGCTGGTGCTATGCAAGTTGCTGGTTTAAAAACAATTACCAGTACAATACTTGTACTAGCAGCACGAAGTTTAAAATTAATTTTGTGGTTTATGCCTTTTGTTAAGTCACATTTTCAAGGTAAATTTAATTACTTTTATTAACTTATATTATAATATTAATATAATTATAATATTAATATTATAATATTAAAACTTATTTATAGCATTTGCGGAACAAAATTCTAATCGTGGATTTGGTGGATCTAATATAAGTGGTGGTGTTGCTTTATTGGATAGTGTTGAAAGAGATATTCGTGCGCATGTAAAAGAGATTGAAAGCAAAATTTTAACTATTGTCGATAATCTATTGGGAGGTCAAATATCGAAATGGACTGCAAGACCACCAGTACCATCTAAATCATTTAGAAATATTTCTAGGTACAGTATTATATAATTTAATTTTTTTATTATTATAATCATTAAATATTTAAATTATAAAAAAAATCATTAATTACAGTTATTTAATGAAACTACATGAAGCAGTTTCGGGAATTCTCCCAGAAGTTGAAGTACAAACTTTATATCGTACAGTAAATACATCTTTCAAAGAAAAACTTAGAGAGCAATTAGTCAAAATGAATATAGTAAATAATGGTGGCCCACAACATGGTGTAGTTACATCTGAATTAACATTTTATGTTGAAGCATTACGAAAATTAAAAGTGTTACCAACTAATGAGTTAGATGATAATTGGATGAGTGATATATGGACCAGATAACATGCAGAGCGTGTAATATATTGCATAATAGAAGCAATGAAACATTGTAGAAAAAGGTGACTAATCTTTATTACAGTCTTCCTTCACATGCGTTGCATCTTAATGACTATTAATGTTTTGATGAATTTTTAATGATGTGGCTTGTATTAAAATTAACCACATATTAATGTTTATAATTATTTTATTTATAAGGTTGTATGGAATGCAATGGTTTAGTAATATTAATATAAGGAATTTCTTAATAGCATTTTTATAAAATGCTCTATATTCGATATTTTGGAAATATGTGTAAATAGTAAACAATTTTCTTTAAGAAATATGATGTTACTTGTATTGTTTGTTAATATTTTAATACAAATTACAAGTTAACTTAATTATTAATATTAAATTACACATATTTTACGTCTCCCAAATCTTGTACGCCATAGTGTTCAAATGTAAAATTTCATACATAGGTCTGAATAACTATACAAAAAAATCTATATAAGTAGTAGAAAGTTATTTTTTCTTCCATACCTTTAAGATTAAATATACAAAACTTATTTGCAATTGAATACAATAGTAAACATACTAAACATTTGTTATTGTTATTTATAAAATGATTCATATCAATTCATTAATACATATATAAAAATGAATATATGGTAAAACAAAGTTATTCATTTTTCTATGATCATTTTTGCATTATTTGTACATTTGTTTTTCAAAATTGAAATCTTTTTGAGTTTATAATACATTATATAATAAAAAATTAAAAATATATACATTTTGTTAATAAAATGTATGAAGACCTAACATAAGATATGAAAGATGCAATATGACTGCTTTTATTGTTGTGTTCATTGCTTAAACTAACTGAATGAAGAGTATTGTCAGATAAATTCTGGCAATAACTATTTAACATTTTTATATATTGTGTACTATTTGCACTAATCTGTTTTTATTGACAGATTATTAAACTAGTTTCTTAATAGTAAGCATATCTTACTATTATTTAATAGAATACATTAATACGAGGGTTTTTATCAAAGTTTTTAAAATACCCTATTTCTCATATTTTTGTGCATATAAATGTATACATATATGTACAATATTGTAATCTATTATTACAAAAAACTGGTTAATAATTTACAAAAAAGATAAAAAAATAATCTAGTTCAATAGTATTAAATTTTTCATTACATGTTTATTATTATTTAAAAGAAAATTAAAAGAATTATACAATTTAATTGCAATTTTTGTAATATATTGTAAATATTTATTTTATCCTCATAATCAAGATAAATCTATTAATTATTCCTATTACATTCCATTAATATTAAATTATACAATTATGATTTGATAATTATACAATTATAGCATACTGATCTTAAAATTATATTTATTTATCATAGTTTTAACTTATTATAAATCTTTAAGTATATATGGTGCATTTCAACTTTGTCTAGTCCATCTTGTACATAAATAAAAATACAACATTAATTATTTGTATTTTAATTCATAAATAATTTATTCAAAAAAAATTTCTCTATATGGATTTTAAATTGAAATAGATATAATTGCAGTTATTTAATATAAAAAATAATCTGATTAATACATATCAGATGAATATCTGATGAAATTTTATTGACAAAATTAATATTTTGTTATTAAATATATACATGAAAAAAAATAGAAAAATTTAAATGTAATATTTATTATTTCATCGTGTAATGAATAGTTTACTAATAATATTATAAAAAATTAGCAACATATAAAAAAATTTTATATGTTTTATATTTATATATTTTTACATTGTACATTAATTGTACAAAAAATCAAAATTACTTCGATAGAACGAATATATTTATTTCTTAATTTTTATTCTTATTTTATTTTAATAATCAGTATTGATGTGATATATTTGAAAATAATATAATTTGAATTAAAATTTTTGAATCTTATTTACAATTTACATACGAATTTTTATAAATTGAGTTTTTTGCGTAGCTATAACAACGAATATCAAAACATGTTCATAACCTATACTCAAATAGGAGATACAAAATATATAAACTACTGTGCATTTATTATAACAATAATTGTGTATAAATTTTGGATTAAAAACAAATGGCAGATCAAAATTCGTATGTATTTGCTAACCTTATATTTACATTATCAAACTTATAATAATACTTATATCTATCGTAAAACACAGTTATATATTAACAATAATTATTATCTTAATGAATTTATATTCATAAAAATCAAAATATATATTACATGATTATGTTTTAGCGAAGAAAATGTTAGAGATATTGCTTTACGTTTTTGTTTAGAAGAAGAGCAACGACGTAAAACTAATCCTAACGAAACACACGAACGCTCAATTATCATTGTTGGTAGCAAAAGAGTCGTATGTAGTATATTAAAAATATTAAATAATATTAATACAGATTATATATCTATATTTATGAGAAAGAAATATATTCTTAGGGTAAAACTACAATTATACATCGATTTCTTGAAAAAGATGAAACCCCTAAACCAACTATCGCAATGGATTATTCTTTTGGGCGTAAGGCTGGAAAAAGTTTAGTAAGTTTTTTAGAATAAAATATCATTTACAAAATAAATAAATATATTTTTAATGAAAATAAATAAAATTCAGATAATATTAATTCATTAAAAAATAAATAAATAAACACATCATTATTTTATGCAAGATATGTATTATAATTCAAAAAATACAAGTATATTTATTTTTATTTTTATTTTTTTATATTAATTAAAAATATTATAATTTATATAATATAACAATACAATATTAATAATTTTGAAAAATAATTACAAAAATACTAATGAAAAAGAAAAAAAATTAAATATAAAATATACTATTACGTAAATGTTCACATTCGTATGTTACGAATATTTAACTGTGACTTTAATAATTATTATTTTTTGTTATCGATGTAGATAAAAAATATCGTGCATGTTTGGGAAGTAGGACATTTAACTTCTTCGTTAGTATCAGCAGCAATGACAGGTTCATCTTTGACTCATTTTCCTCATCATGTTACGATATTGGTTATGCTGGATTTATCGCAACCAGAAATTTTATGGACCACATTTGAAGAAGCTCTCTCAGTAGTGCGTAATGCAATGAAAATGAGTTATGACGATAAAATAATTCAGGATCTTAAAAAACAGCGTATTAAAGAGCGAAAAAAAATTATGGAAAGAGAAATCGATCCATTTCCAATGAGACTTTGTTTTATAGGTGGAAAATATGATCAATTTAAGGTATTTTAAGCATTCTTGATAATGTAAAATATATTGTGCATTATATATCATTATTGTATCTTTTTAATAATAGAAATTATAAATTATGAAAAAAATTTGAAATAGGATTTAGATTTGGATAAAATAGAGTTAGTCGGTAAAACCTTAAGAGCTGTAGCACATATTTTAGGAGCAAGTCTCTATTATCATTCTGCAAAAGATAAGTCTTTATTACGAAGAACTAAAGATTTGTTATCTTATTATGGATTTGGTACACAATTTTCGTAAGTTTTTATGTTATGTATTAAACTAATATAATATGATAGTAATATACTTCAAATTTGATATTGAATATTGGAATTAATATTTTTTCTTTTTTTTTGCATTTCAAAAATTATAAATCTTATTTAATCTAGTGATATCAAGTGTACTGATTTCGAAAAACCATTAGCAATATCTGCCGGTACAGACTCCTTCTCGTCGATCGATTTGCAATTTCCTCAAACCAGACCTTCGGCTATCTTAGATACCATCAAACAGATTTATGTTACTCATATACCACAAGAGTCAAGAAGCAACGAAATTATCTTGGAGGATCCAAGTAACGATCCCAACTTTAATGAACCGATCATCGACAGATTACGAACTCAGAGAGAAGAGGTATATCGTTAAATAATTTAATTTGTACATTACAAGAAAAAAATTAGAGATTTTATTTTTTTCATTTTTTTTTAATTTTTTTTACATACAATTTTTTTACAAATATTTATCAATTAAATTTTTTTATTGAATTTTATCTTCTTTTATTTCTAAAGTACATATTTCAAATTAAAAACTATAATAGATATGTCTCCTATATTATAATATAATGATTTTTTAATCCAAGATGAAAGAGTAAAAAATAATATATTTACAGGAAATAAATATTCTTCTTCAAGATATGTTAGAAGGTCGAATACCTCAAATTCCTATTCCGGATCCATCATAGAATTAGATAATAATTGTTCGTTGCCTGGATTTAATATTATACGTAAGAAAAATTTTTCAAAAAAAATCTTAAAATATATTTTGTTATATTTGATCTTATCAAGATTTTTATCAAGATTCAAAGAAAAAATTCCTGATTGTTTTATTTATATTTCAGATATTTCCATTTGAAAATGAATAACAATAAGATCATAATAATTTATACATAGATTACAAAGTTAATCCATTCTATATTATAAATTATTTTTTTTTTAAATTAATATTGATAAAATACGTAAGACAATTCAAAATGGATTAAACTTAGAATAATTATATTTGAACTAATATACTATAAATATGTATAGCAAATACAATAAAATAATTCTTACTATTATATTCAAATCTTCACAGACATGGCGGATATTGCGAATCTTATCTTGATATTACATTTTCAGACAGTTTTATTTCATTGAAATTCGCATTCATCGAAGTAAAACGAATAATTTATCTCGAAATCAATCATTTAAATACGATGTCCATTCTCCGTAGAGATGAAATTACGTGTTTTCGTGTCATCGCGCACGCGTCTATTCATTCGCCCTTTCCCAACAGTGGCTCACCGTGAAATCGAAGGGTGTACAGGGAGAGCGGGAGTAAAGTGGAAGGGTGGGGAAGGTGTCGTCGCACGTCTCCTGATTCCTAACGGCAGTAGAATAGTGCGCTGATAAGAGCAGCGGCAGCGAACGGTGACGCGTGCGCGTTACGGTGCGATGCGCATGCGCATCGAGGTACACGGGTCGCTCCCGATACGCGGATAGTCGGAGTCGAGCGTTTACGAAAACGGGATCCGACTGGGGGGGTTTTCGCTTCGTCGCGGGCCTCTCGCTTTCTGGCCTCGGTTTTCTCAGTGAAAATGCCGCTGTGATAGAGGCACGCGTGCCGTGTGCTCTGTCCGGGCTTGTCGCGCCCCTGCAAAGAGCCAACAGTCAACTGTCCACGCGAATTTTTACTGCGTTACTGATTCCACTGATTCACGGCTGTTATCTTTTCGGCGCTCTTGTCATCTCCCTCCCTCAGTATCTTTTCTGTCTTTCTTCTTTGTTTATTTTCTTCCTCTTTCCATACCGTGCCCTCTATCCTTCGCGCGTTTTTTTTTTTCTATCTTGTCATCGTAGATCAGTTGTTCTGTACTTATCCCCTCTGTCACAAACGATACCGTATATCGCAAAATTTAACAGTGGGAAATCGTGTCATTGTAGAAGTGCCGCGAGTTTCGTAATCGTCTACCAACGAAGTTGCACCGGCGATTCGAACAGGTGAGTCGAAAAACAAGATTCATACTGTGTCAGTGATTGCTTCGATTACTTAGATCCCTGTTATTAATCGGTATACCGATTACAACGAATTAGGTCTCGTAAATCGATAAAACTGAAGAATTGACTCGTCGACTGACACGATGTTCGAAATGTATATCGTGATGATCGTAGACCGCCCCCTCCCGCGGCTGTTTCTCGCGGTTATCGATTCCGGTGTGAACGCGCCCTGTCTGGACAGTTATCTAGTTGTCTTTCTTACGCGCATCTTTCCACAGGATCAAGTTTTTTGAATGATCAATATCAGGCCGCGTAAACGATATTTACGCGGCCTTTTCGTTCTTTTATCATTTCGCATACGTGTGGATAAAACTTAAAGGCTTCCTCGAGTGCGTTCGTGAACGCGTGTCAGCAATTCGAGCGTGATTTCGGTACCGTAACTTGCGAGCAAAAGGTAACGAGCCAATAATGCGAATTAATTACACGCATCGTGACGATTGACAGTTAACGCGAGACGGTATGAACATTGCGTTTGTTAATACGAATGAATTGTGAACATGTATACTTACGTATATGCGTTCTATCTTTCGAAGAATTTATTTGTTTAACTTTAAATTCGTACACTCGAAATGTATTCACATGCTCGTCTAGAATTCAGTCAATTCTTGATGTGTCAGTTTACTTTGTTGTCTGATTCGAAAGTAGACCGAATAGTCTGACATATACATTCATGTATATGCATACATTACATTTTTAATTTGACTTAATTATACGATTATATAAAGCATGTTATATGTGTAATTATATTTGTCAGAAGAATGAAATTGTATGTAAAAATGTCAATATTTTTATTAAAAATTTTAAATATATATCATAGAAAATTTTTGAAATATCGAAGTATATGATTGAAAAATAGCATCTTTTCATTAATCTTTCATATTTTTTAATATTTTAATAGTACTTACATTTAAATATGATATATTTAATATAATATATACATAATTATAAATATTGGAAATTTTTTAAAAATTTATTTATATATATACATTGCATCCAAAATCATATATCGTAGTGATGAAATTTCATCTGTGATATAATAATATTTTTATTGACCACATAAGTTGTATAAAATTTCATTTGTTATATAAAATAATAAATATTTCCGAATTATCGATTTTATGATTATTTTAAAGTATTTAAATTTATTATTGATTTTTTTACATAAAACACAATCAAAATTACAATATTATTATAAAATTTTTACAATTTTTTTTTGTTCAACAAAGATTCAAAGATAAATTTAACAGTTTGTAAATATAATAATTTTATATTATGAAATTTCACTTGTTAGTGATAAGATGATATATTTATGACTTTCGATATATCGTAAAAATTATACGTATAAAGCATATCTTATAAAACATAGAAAAAGAAAATACGAAGATTTTAAAATAAAATGAATATCACCAATGATTAAGAACAGAATTTTTTTTTAAAAAATAAACTGAGATAGATATATTTTTTTTATTTATTGATGAATAAATTTACATACAAATCTTATCGTCAGTGTTGAAAATAAATATTTTTTTATAGCTATTTTTTTAGAAATATTATCTTTCGTATAAAAATTTCAGATATTTATTAAATGATTCACGGAGAAAAAATTATACTTTTGACATATTATTAAAATTTTAGTTTATAATAATATATGTGCTATTCGATTCAATGTTTTTTAAAAGAACAAAAAATTTAATTGTACGTTTTGTTTTTGAAAGATTCTTAAAAAATCAGTCACTATTAATTCCAGTAAAGATTAAATCTCTTATTTTCAGTTGGATGTCTTGCTACGCTATGATCTTGTTGACCTTGATCTTTAAAACGGGATTTGCTTGACATCAAACAATTTTGTTTCTTTGTTACACAGTATTCTATGAAAATTATATGTTCATAAAATTATACAATTTTATTTCACATATTCTATTTCAACTTGTAATTTTATATTAGAGTTTTAAATGTATAATATTCATTTAAAAAATATTAGTTTAATATTCTTTCCTTATCTTAAAATAAATTTTGTAATTTATCAAAATAATTAACTAAAATTAATTTTTCTTAAACATAATTTTAAAAAAATGACATTTATAAATAGCATTTTAAAACATTTTCTTGTTCTTCTTCGTTGTTTAACAATATTTAAAAATCTTCTATCTCTTATATATTAATGCATTTTTTAAAAAATATTTATTTATATAAAATATATAAATATTCATCTATTTTATTCTACAAATTTCTAAAACTTTATATCTTTAGATCTTTATCAATATTTTACTTTATAAATATGTAATAACATATTTTGATTTTTAGGGATAAATATATATTTATTCAAATTTGATCTTATTTCTGACCTTTTTAAAAGATACAATTTTCAAATTAACTTTTAATACTCTTTCAATATATCATTCATAAATTTGTTCAATTTTTTTGTTCATTTTCTATTAATTGATACGATCACTCGAATGACTCTGATTTTCTAATCTTAATTTCGTAGAAAAGATTATTCGGTCGTGACAGGCTATCTATAGATATCAATTAGGAATCATTTCGATTTCATTGGGATTTATCGATTGCGCAAATAAAAACGACCAACAGGTTTATATCTGTGTATATAAGAAGAAATTTGTGATGGTTCATGGGCCCAACTCGTGCAAGCCGTTGATAATACATAATAGGTACGTACCTGGTGGAACGAAATCGTCGGAACAGCAATGCAGTATTCGATCAAATCTTTTATAAAAATTCTTAATATTTCAAATTTATAAAGCTTATTATATCACAAATAAGAAGAATCTCGATTCGATTATTTTAAAAATATAATAATTAATTTTATTTTTATTCCTTCGTTTATTTATAGGTATAAATTCTTCGATTTAGGATTTATTTTTATAAGTAATAAAATTGACAGATTATTAAATTAGTGATAATTATGTAATAGTGATCTTCTTGCTACTTTTATTAACATAGTATTTTTTTTCTTTAAGATTATATTTTAAATATAAAATTTTGTAGTTGTATTTTTAAAAAAATTATAACATAATCAAAACATCGTATAAAAAATACATTTACACGTGCTTGCATAAGAAATAGTACTATACAAGATTAGAAATTGTTCATTATATTTTTAGTAAGACAAATATAGTGCATCGTGACAATGTCGAATGTCGGTCGATGTTAAGTACAGATCTATTATTTTACAGTCAACTTTTTTAGTATTTTTCACTGTATTCGAACTTCAATTATAAGTCTTTATTGATTACGCGAACTATATTACTAATAGTAACACATTAGCTACTCGCAACAGAGAGCAATTATAGATGTATGTATGAGTTCACGAAACGTCCAAGATATTTTTGAGTTTATATTTGTATTTCTTAAATATTTTAAAATATTTTAACACGAATATAAATAATGAATATTCAAAATCATAGTGATCAAATATTCGTATTCATTTAATTTTATAAATTCATATAGCTTAAAAACTTATTTATGTTTGTATTTTAAATATTATTTCATCTACTTTGCATATTGAATTTTGTTACTATATTATTGAATTAAATATTGAAGAAATTTAATAATTTCCACAGTAAGTTTCTAGTTTTCAAGTATCCAATGTACAGTTTCTAACTTTGAGAAAAGCAAATATGAGACTTAATGGATATTCTAAATAGTAGAAGCAAAGTTTCTATTTACAATTAGATGGTACTTACATAAGTACTTATTGTATATTTATTATATGTAATTTAATTTCTTGTGATTTTATATAAATTAAAATTAAATGTCAAAGTATCTATATTTTTTAAATATTAGTTTATACATTTTATATTTATTTTATACATAATTTTTTTATATCAAATATGTTAGAAGCAAACATATGTTTGAACATAGAAAATTCCTTATTTAAAAAATAAAATATTCAGAAAAGAGCAGAAATTAAGCGTTATTTTTCTAAAAATAGAATATTAAATTAACTTGAAATATATTTAATAAAAAATCAACTTTTATCTCTTGTTCTTCATATATAAAAGAGAACGGATTGCAAAGAAAAATTAGAATCTAGAAAAGCAGGTCGACACTTTTGAGCAATAGATCCACGTTAAAGTAATATTTTCAATGGTCTAGTTTAGAAAAAAGATATATCTTCCATCTAATAAGTATTTGAATTATTTTTCTTTTTCGTATTTATTTTATCTAAAAAAATTTGAGACGATATTATTCTCAAGATAATTATACTATACAAGATTATTATATCAGAGCACGAAATCAAAATGAAGATCACAATTAGACGAAGATTTCACAATCGTTTGTTCCCTTTATTGAGCAAATTTAAACGGTGTATTGTAACGATTGGATAAGATCTTATCAGCGCTAGAAGATAAATGTACATATTATATGGATTTTTACAGATTGTTCTATTTGAGTGCATTAACATCTTTGGAATCAAGGATACAAAATATCTAAATATTTCCTTACATAATCAAAAGTTGCTGAATTAGAAAATAAAAATTTTTAAATAAAAGAATGGCTTAATTAAAAAAAAAATCCTATTTTATTATAAAAAGAATCATTTACAAAGGAATACAAATAAAAATTTGAAGAATTGAATGCCATTAATTGATATGATAATTATATATAATGATAATGATTCAAATTCAAGAATCAGATTTAAAAAAAAAATGATAAAGATAGATGGCAAAAAATTCATTTCTAACGAGAAGTTTTCTAAGCGATAGTTGTTCCTACGCGAAAAGGAAAGGTGTATATTAATTTGCAAGTGGTCGTGGTAAGGGAAGGGAGTTGGCAGTGGAATTACGAAAGAAAAGTTCTCTGAACCTGACCGAAGATGGTAGTGAGGACGGTGTGGTCATCGTTGCTTGTTCAAAGATGTTCGATCAACTGTATCATTTTTATTTTTATAGTTTGTATT